AAAAGCACTCGGACTGGAAGAACAACAGTAACGCTGTGTTAAAGAGCTAGCAGTCTGTCACACAGGCAAATCCTTTTTGAGCATGAAGTCAGCTGGACTCCCTCTACAGACTCTGTGACTCTGCTTTCTGCTTCTCTCTCCACTATCCCAATTCTCCTTGACCTCTGACATGACTGGCCACATCCTCTTCCTGTCCTGGGTATTTCAGGTGCTGCTCTTGGCTGGTTCTCTTCTTGTCCCTTGAACTGCTCTTTCCAAGTGTCCTGGTGAGGCTCTGGCCTTCTCCCCCCCTGGTGTTCTTCACGTGTCAGAACTCGGGCCCCTTCCTTTCTCTGTGTATCTGCTGGATGGGTCCACCTGTTTCATTGCTTCGATGACACTGATGATACTCAGATCACCCTTTCATGACCCGAGTCTTTCCTGCTTCTCTCTCTCTAGATCTTTCTGTCTCTCCCTCATGCTCTCTCAACAGTTTGGGTCATAAAGGCCAGTGATCTCTGTCTGTGTCACAGGCGAACCATTACCTCAGGCTGGATTATCTTAGTCTTCTTGCTGCTGCTGGACACTCTGTACGTCGCTTTCGGTGTCAGTTTACAGGTTGAGCTCGTCTGAATGAGGGTGCTGCTGCAGTCCTGCTGCTCGGTGACCTGTGGAGGAGAGGAGAGGACAGGATGACACTGCTGGGAATGGGGGAACAGAAACATGCCACTACGTCGTGCTGGAGAAACAGACGGACAGAGACAGGAAGTGCTGGAGAGACAGGAAGTGTTGGGGAGGTAGACAGGCAGAGAGACAGGAAGTGCTGGAGAGACAGGAAGTGCTAGAGAGACAGGAAGTGCTAGAGAGACAGGAAGTGCTGGAGAGGTAGACGGGCAGAGAGACGGGAAGTGTTAGGAGAGACAGACAGATAGAGACAGGAAGTACTGGGGAGGAAGACAGAGAGAGAGACAGGAAGTCCCCTGTACCTGGCTGAGAAGTACGTTCCCAGGGAGCACAAACACGTTCAACTTGGGTAGCAGGTCCATGCCATCCCCTGGCTGCAGGAACAGCAGCACCTGTCCCAGGATGCTGGAGTCCCACAGGCTCTTCACAAGGCCCCACAGGGACAGGCCGGCGATGGACACCCTCACATGGGTCTGTGTCACCTCCAGGGGCGACAGCACCTCAAGATTACCACAGCTCACATGGGCCACCGACAGGAAGTCACTCCTGCCTGCAGGAAGACACTGAGTCATTCATGATTCCTTTGGCTGTTTGTTGTAAGACTGGTCACATCTTCACAGCTTCCAGTCCAGTAGGAGAGCCCCACGATTCAGTTACACCCCTAGACTCCACCCTAGCTGTTCCCTGTTTGTTCCAAGGACTCATCCCTCTCAGCGATAAGACTTTGGGCTCAGAGCAGTGGGTGCAGCACCTTTGTGGAGTTGGACCACCTTCGGTTCCGACTTGGTTAGTATTTTCCAGTTAGGCCTCAAGTGCCGAGTCAGCGAGATGGGTTTGTAAACCAGAGACCATCAACTCAATGCTGGAGGAGCTTGTCTTGGTTAAACCTGAGTACGTTGGCTCCAGTGTGATTCGACAATAAGTCACGTCCACAGTAGAGGACTGCCGGAATGGAGAGGCTCACAAGAGCCAGCTCTGCTCCTCATTGACTTCCATTCCAGCTCATCTTTCAACCTAGTGACATGACACGACACTTAGGGCTGAAGATCACTG